TCAAGTCAAGGAACGTGCACACTTAACTGCTGCGCCACCAGGCCAGCCCCTAAATATCCCTCTTCAAAAAGCCTTGCCTGACCAACCCCTCCAAGGTAGCCTCCTTCCGCGATCACCTTCTGTCCCTTACGACACTTTCCATAGCACTTGTCACTACTGACTTTACATGTGTGTTTGTTTACTTATTGTCTCTCTCCCCCTTTATTTATTTATTTTTTTAAAGATTGGAACCTAAGGGGCTGGCCCGGTGGCGCAGCAGTTAAGTTCGCATGTTCCACTTCTTGGTGGCCTGGGGTTTACCGGTTCAGATCCCAGGTACAGACATGGCATCGCTTGGCAAAAGCCATGCTGTGGTAGGTGTTCCACATATAAAGTAGAGGAAGATGGGCACGGATGTTAGCTCAGGGCCAGTCTTCCTCAGCAAAAAGAGGAGGACTGGCAGCAGTTAGCTCAGGGCTAATCTTCCTCAAAAAAGTTAATTAATTAATTGAAAAAAAAAGATTGGCACCTGAGCTAAAAACTGTTGCCAATCTTCCCCCCTTTTTTTCCTTTTTCTCCCCACAGCCCCCCGGTACATAGTTGTATATTTTTAGTTGTGGGTCCTTCTAGTTGTGGCATGTGGGACCCACCTCAGCATGGCTTGATGAGTGGTGCTATGTCCGCACCCAGGATCCGAACCGGTGAAACCCTGGGCCGCCACAGCGGAGCGCACAAACTCAACCACTTCACCACGGGGCGACCCCCTCTCTCCCCCTTTAGAATACAAGCTCTATGAACATGAAGATAAAGTCTTGCTTTTTTCCCTGTTCTTGTACTTAGAAGAGTGCCAATTTAGCAGACTCAATTAACAATTGTTGGAAATAACTAAGTGAACCTCCCCTTCCGCCCCATACAGAATATAGTTTGCCACGTTCCAGGGGTGGCTTGCTTGCTGGTCCCTGGTGCTCTCTTCTTGGCTGTTCTTGGTGTTATGCTCCATGTGATAGCAAATTGTGGGGCACAGGGACCAACCAGGGCTCTTGGCTATTGCAGGGAGTAGCTGAAGGAGGGATAAGGATTATCCTCATTTGCTGAAACCTTGGCAACTCAGGCGACAGCCATACCCACAACAACTTTTACTTCCCAGCTCCCAATTCTGCTGCTGATCCTACAGTTCAGTTCTTTCCCTAAGGGTAGTGATGCTTCTTTCTCTCCTACTTCCAGTCGAGTCCTCCTACTTGAGTCAATGGGAGACTTTTGCCACCATTGAGATCCTCTATGCAGCAGCATTTTGCTGTCAATGCCTTCAGCAACCACTGCGCTCCAGTTGAAGCCTAGTTCTCTTTTGCTGGTTCATTAATATATTTCCATACATTCTTTGCAAATGATTTTTCTTTACTCTTATCACTTATGCAGATATCTTTTCTCCTTCCTCTTTTTTTTCTGCTTTTTCTCTCCAAAGCCCCCCAGTACATAGTTGTGTATTTTCAGTTGTGGGCCCTTCTAGTTGTAGCATGTGGGCTGCCGCCTCAGCATGGGCTGATGAGTGGTGCCATGTCCGCCCCCAGGATCCAAACCAGAGAAACCCTGGGCCAGCGAAGCGGAGTGTGCGAACTTAACCACTCTGCCACTGGCCGGCCCCTCTGCTTCCTCTTGACTTGTGGTTTCAAAAACATATGTATATTAAGCCAATGGTATCCTATCTTCTCTCCATACTACCAAAGACCTTTACATTATATTGTAATTTTAATAGAGATAATCATACTTTAAAACATGCAGTTTTTTTAAGAGGTTTTATTTTCCCTTTTTCTTCCCAAAACCCTCAGAACATAGTTGTATATTTTTAGTTGTGGGTCCTTCTGGTTGTGGCATGAGGGATGCTGCCTCAGTGTGGCCTGACAAGCAGTGCCACGTCTGTGCCCAGCATCCAAACCAGCAAAACCTTGGGCTGCTGAAGCGGAGTGCGTGAACTTAACCACTCAGCCATAGGGCCGGCCCCTAAAACATGCAGTTTTAAGAAATACGATAGAGAGATTCCTTATCACCTTGCTCAGTTCTCCTCAATGGTTACATTTTGTAAAACTGTAGAATAGTATCACAACCAAGATATTAACATTGACCCAATCCATCAATTTCATCCAGATTTCCTGTTTTACTTGTACTCATTTGTGTGTGTGTGTGTATTTAGTTTTATGCAACTTTGTCACCTGTATAGGTTTGTGTATCCAACACCACAGTCAGATCTGAACAGTTCCAACAGTTCAGATAGCTTTTACTGCCCTTTTATAGCCAAACCTTCCTCCATCCTGCCCCACCCCTGTCCCTAACCCTTGACAACCACTGATCTGTCCTCATTTCTAAAATTTTGTCATTTCAATACGTTATATAAGTGGAATCATACAGTACACAGACTTTTGAGATTGGCTTTGTTCTCACTCAGCATAATTCCCTGGAGAGTCATCCAAGTTGTTGCATGCATCAGTCGTCTGTTCCTTTTGATTGCTGAGTAGTATTCCACAGTATAGATGTACCACAGAGTGTTTACCATTCACCTATTGAAGGACATCCGGGCTGATTCCAGTTTTTACGTATCACAAACAAAGCTGATACGAACATTTATGTAAAGGCTTTTGCGCGAACCTAAGTTTTCCTGTCTCCAAGATAAATGCTCAGGAGTGCAATTGCTGGGCTGTATATGGTAGTCGCATTTTAAATTTTTTTCCTAAGAAATTGCTAAACTGTTTCCCAGAGTGACTGTACCAATTTACATTCCTCCCAGCAATGTATGAGGGATCCAGTTTCTCTGCACAGTATTGTTATTATATATATACATTTAGCTATTCTGTAGTGGATAGTAGTAAAGTTTATTCAGTCATTTATTCAATAAATATCTGCTACTAACCAACACCTTTCAGGCAGTGCAGGGGTTTATAACAAGATGTACATAATCCATATCCTGCATAATCTACAAGTCAGTGTTATTATAGGCATGTAAATAGGCAATCATAGCATGATAATTGCTATAATGAAGGAAGTATAGGATGCTGTGGGGCACATAGATATTACACCTGGTGGGATGGCCCGGTGGCACAGTGGTTAAGTTTGCATGTTCCACTTAAGAGGCCCAGGGTTCGCTGGTTTGAATCCCGGGTGCAGAACTATGCACCGCTTGTCAAGCCATGCTGTGGCAGGCATCTCACACATTAAGTAGAGGAAGATGGGCATGGATGTTAGCTCAGGGCCAGTTTTCCTCAGCAAAAAGAGGAGGATTGGCAGCGGATGTTAGCTCAGGGCTAATCTTCCTCAAAAAAAAAAGAAAAGAAAGAAAGAAAGAAAGAAAGAAATTATATCTAGGAGTCTCTAAGGAATGATTTTCCCATTGTGCTTAATCAGTCTTTTTTTTTTTTTTTAAAGATTGGCACCTGAGCTAATATCTGTTGCCAATCTTTTTTTTTTTCTTCTTCTTCTTCTCCCCAAAGCCCCCTAGTACATAGTTGTATATTCTAGTTGTGAGAGCCCCTGGTTGTGCTATGCGGGACGCCACCTCAGCATGGCTTGATGAGCGGCGCCATGTCTGTGCCCAGGATCCGAACCAGTGGAACCCTGAGCTGCCAAAGCAGAGTGTGCGAGCTTAACCACTTGGCCACAGGGCCAGCCCCCACTTAATCATTCTTGTTGGAGCCTTAAGGAGGATTACCTGGTTTGGGACTAGGCAAATTTCAGCAAAGCCCTTAAAACTTTGCTTTTCTTGATTCAATGAGCTGGTCCAATTCAATTAATACAGGAGAAAATCTTTAATTCCATTTTCTGATATGCTTTTAAGGTTTAGAAGAATAGAGACTTTTTTCTTAGCAGCTCAACTTGTATATGGGCGTTATTTGACATGAGCATCTCTTGGTCAACAGGTCCTTTGGCTGCAGATGCCACCTTGAGGTAAGAAGAATACTATCATAGTTCGCATTTAATTCAACCAAGAAGAAATGGGTATTTCAGAGCTGGAGGTCTATAGCTTTCCTTATTGTTCCTTTCCCCTTTTACCAGGTTTTCTTTTTGCCTCTTCCAAACTCATTCTCTGTGATTATTGCTTTCTATGTCTTTGCTCCTATGTCTTTTAGTTTCTGTGTAAATAAATTATCTTCCAGCTTTGTTCTGTTATTGTCTTAATATTGCTCTGCTCTCTTTAGATCAAATGTGTCTATAGCCATTGGGTCCAGGGTACTCACTTGTCACTTTGATTTCATCTTCCTGTTTTATACTGTATGCCTGTTTTCCATACATATCATTATAACAAGAAGACTTTCGTCAGAAAATATAGCCTCTCATGATAGGTGGAAGGACTGATCTATGTGACAAATGAATATGATGCTTTAGGGGTGAGTGGGAAATATGAGGAGGTATTAAGCTTCTGACTCAACCATATTGCAAAGAAGAGTCGTCAGCACAAGCCTGAGTTCCCCTGAGTCACAGCTTTGATACACAGAGAGTGTTAAATTTAAACATGCCATTGAGAGCAATTCGAATTTCTTTGCTATGAGAAATTGGTATACAGAATTTATAAAGAATCCTGAGGCTAAATTACGCTCTTCCCAGACTTGGCAAGAGAATCTGGTTGGCAATTTGAGGCTTCTACACCTGAGAAAATCTAGTTAGAAACCAGTGAAGATGAGTGAAGATTAACAATTGGAACACGGCCCCTCCAAGTGTGAGACCGAAAGATTAGAAACCTTTAAAAGAGAAACAAGGACACATTTATACCTGAATTCAAGACTACAAGCCATGGTATAGAGAGTGTGGAACCAAACAACAGGAGTGGAGAAAAAGCTCTTCAGTGTTTATGAGGAACACTGATAATCCAAAGGGATGTCCTCAGATGATTCTGAGACACAGCATAGAAAAAAAAAGTTTCCTGAGATGTCATGTTTTGGATCTGCTTGATAGAAGGGGGAGCATGAAATGACTCATAAGTTCCCTCTAAAGATTGCGTGACAACATGGGGGTGCTTTTTATGTTTCAGGAGAAGAATCCAGCCCTGGGAATTTGAAGCCTTCTTTGACCCCAGAGAACTCCGGAAAGAGGCCTGTCTGCTCTATGAAATCAAGTGGGGCATGAGCCATAACATCTGGCGATACTCAGGCAAAAACACCACCAAGCATGTTGAAATCAATTTTATAGAAAAATTCACTTCAGAAAGACACTTGCGCCCGTCCATCAGCTGTTCCATCGTCTGGTTCTTGTCCTGGAGTCCCTGTTGGGAATGCTCCAAGGCTATTAGGGAATTTTTGAGTCAACACCCTAATGTGACGCTAGTTATTTATGTAGCACGGCTTTTTCAGCACATGGACCGACTAAACCGTCAAGGACTCAGGGACCTCATCAACAGTGGTGTGACTATCCAGATTATGAGAACCTCAGGTAAAAATAAGAAAGAAAGAAGCGTAAGTGTTTGTGAGACACTATGGTGGGAGTAGTTGCTAGGCCAGCAGATTGATTATCCAGACTGGAAGTTTCAGAAGTGAAAGTCCAAAGTAATATGAGAAAGAGCTAGGTCTGAAACTCAAAACAAGGAATGTATCAAAAATATGACTCCTTTCTTCTCTGGTGCTTATGCTCTTAATTGCCATCTCTTAAAAAGCACCAGACCAAAATCTCTCCACTGTTCATCTTTCTCTGGAGGACATACCTAACAAGGTTTTTATTTAGTAAACCAATCTATGCATGGGTTCGGCACTAGCCAAACCACCAACTCCTAGCTCTAGATAAACAGGACTTGCCATCCTCGTGATGTCATACAGAGAAGTCACAGGGCAGTGACTGAGGGTCTGTAGGTTACACTTTGGTACCAGATAACAGTTTTTTTTTTTTTTTTAATAAGAAAGACTTGAGTATTCCACATGGCTCAACTCCTCCTCCCAGGGTTTTAACTCTTATTTTCAAAACCAGGTCCAGTGAGCTTTCTGAACAGCTGGTGTAGCTGCAGAGAAACCAGCTTCCTTCAGACAGCAGTGCTTTTGGCATGGAGGATGTATATGACTCCTTTCTCCATTCTGGCCACTATGACCTCTCGGCCATCTTCAATGAACTGCTTTGTTCTTTTTAGGGATTCTGAGGGAGTCTAGCCCATCTCCAGCAGCAAGTAGACCAGAGGGTTTTATATACGGCATATTTTTAAGTTGGGCTCTCTTTAAGTACCTTTCTATTGTATTTGTTGAATGAACCAAGAGCTGTGTTTCCTTAGAATATGATCACTGCTGGAGAAATTTTGTCAACTACCCACCTGGGAAAGAAGCTCACTGGCCAAGATACCCACTTCTGTGGATGAAGCTGTATGCATTGGAACTCCACTGCATAATTCTAGTAAGTTACTTTAAGGGATAAAGATTCTGATGCAAAAAAAAAAAATCCTTCTTCAAACTTCTTTCCTGATAATTTTGACATGTGCTCTCCTCACCATCTCTTTGTCATGTATATTGAGATGTAGTTATTTAACTACTTGACTCATCTTAAGAAAATGTGAGAACAAGAAAATATCTTTCTGGGAAATAAATGGGAGAAGGGAATGGAGAAAGTGGTCTAAGATATATGTGGATTCCATATTAATTAGATTTTAGCAGCCCTCTTGGCACAGTGGGTGGCGCATCAGTCTCATATTAATTCGAGTTTATTATTATTGTTGTTGTTGTCGTTGTTGTCATTGCAGCACATACTGGCTGTTCAGATTGCAGATAGTCCCCTTGCCCATATCGGTGTGTGTCATCCTATTGAAGAAATGTAGGTGGTCTCATTGTAGTCTCTTGAAAGTAGTTCAATGGTCTCCCAACTGATATTTTAAAATGTTTGTGGTAATAATAGTATTAAGAAAAATATTATCCTGACTTCTTTTTTATTCCAGAGTCTCCCTCCCTGTTTAATGATTTCAAGAAGATGTCAGAATCAGCTTACGTTTTTCAGACTCACTCTTCAAAATTGCCATTACCAAATGATTCCGCCCCATATCCTTTTAGCTACAGGGTTGGTGCAACTTCCTGTGACTTGGAGATGAATAGAATGATCCCTTGTATGCACTGTTTCAAGAAGAAGCAATGATAACCCACTAAGGAGTGAGCGCCACTAGAATCTAAACATTTTCAGTTTGCGTTTCCATATACTAACTGCAAAGTACCTGAAAAAGAAATAAAGAAAACAATCTCATTTACAATAAACATCAAAAACAATAAAATACTTAGGAATAAATTTAACCAAGGAAGTGAAATATCAGTACACTGAAAAATATAAGCCATTGATGAAAGAAACTGAAGAAGACACAAATAAATGGAAAGATATCCTATGTTCATAGATCAGAAGAATTAATATTATTAAAACATTCACACTACCCAAAGCATCTATAGATTCAAGGCAATCCCTATCAAGAGTCCAATGGCGTGTTTTACAGAAATAGGATAAACAATCCTAAATGTTGTACGGAAACACTAAAGATCCTGAATAGCAAAAGCAGTCCTGAGAAAGAAGAACAGAGCTGGAGGCATCACACTTCCTGATTTCAAACTATGTTACAAAGCTACAGCAATCAAACCAGTATGGTACTGGCATAAAAATAGACACATAGACCAATGGAGCAAAATGGAGAGCCCAGAAATAAACTCATGTTTATACAGTCAACTAATATTGGCAAGGAAGCCAAGAAAATAGTGTCTTCAATAAACGGTGCTTGTAAAACTGATATTCACGTGCAAAGAATGAAACAGGACCCCTGCCCTATATCACTCCTTTAGAATTAATTCAAAATGAATTAAAGAAATGTAAAACATGAAACCATAAAGCTTGTAGAAGAAAACATAGGGATATAATTCCTTGACATTAGTCTTGGCGATGATTTTATAAATAGGACACCAGAAGCACAAGCCACGAAAGCAAAAATAAAGAAGTGGGACTACATCAAATTAGAAAAGTTTTGCACAGCAAAGGAAACAATCAACAAAATGAAAAGGCAGCCTACAGAATGGGAGAAAATATTTGCGAACTACATATCTCATGGGGACGAATATCCAAAATATATAATGAACTCATACAATTCATCAGTAAAAAAACAAATAATCCAACTTAAAAATGGGCAAATGACCTGTATAGACATTTTTCCAAAGAAGATATTTAAATGGCCAACAGCTACATGAAAGTTATTGAACATGAATAATCGTCGGGGAAATCAAAACCACAATGAGATATCACCTCACATCTGTTGAAATTGTTATCATTAAAAAGACAAGAGGTAAGTGTTGGCGAGGGTATGGAGAAGTGACAACCCTGTGCGCTGTTGGTGGAAATGTAAATTGGTGCAGCCACTATGGAAAATAGTATGGAGAGCCCTCAGAAAATTAAAAATATGGCTACCATATCATTCAGCAATCTTACTCCTGGGTATATATCTGAAGGAAATGAAATCACTATCTCAAAGAGATGTCTGCACCCTCATGTTCACTGAAGTATTATTTACAATAACCAAGACACGAAAACAACCCAAGTGTCCATCAAGAAATGAATGGATAAAGAGGATGTGATACACACACACACACATGCACACAATGGAATATTATATAGCTATAAAAAAAGAAAATCCTGCCATTTGCAACAACATGGATGAATCTTGAGGGCGTTATGCTAAGTGGAATAAGTCAGAGAAAGACAAATATTGTATGACCTCACTTGTACGTGGAATCTAAAACAGAACAAACTCAGAGAAACAGAAAGCAGATTAGTCCTGGCCAGTGGCAGGGGTGACAGTGGTCAAAGGGCACAAACTCGGTTTTAAGATGAATAAGTTCTTGGGATGTAATGTACAGCATCGTGATTATAGTTAATACTGAATTGTATACTTGATATTTGCTAAGAGAATAGATCTTAAATGTTCTTACCACACACAAAAATACCTGTAACTATGTGAGGTGATGAGTATGTTAACTCACCTTATTGTGGTAATCATTTCTCAATATATACATATATCAAATCATTCTGTTATACACCTTAAACTTACACAATGCTATGTGTCAATTATGTCTCAATAAAGCTGGGGCGGAAAAGAGATTAAAAAAGAGAATCTAGAAATTTTCACAAACAGCAGTATCACAGATTGAGTTATCTACTGTTGTATGACAAATTAGTTTGATACTTTGTGGCTTAAGACAGCAACAAATATTTATTATGCCACAGTTTCTCTGGGTCAGGAATTCAGGAGCAACTTATCAGTGTGTTTGTGGCTCAGGATGTCTCATGAGGTTGCAGTCAAGCTATTAGCCAGGGCTGCGTTCATCTTAACGCTTGACTGAGACTAGAGAATGTGCTTCCTGGGTGGCACATTCACATGGTTGCCAACTGGATGCTAGTGGTTGGTGGGGGTCTCAGTTTCTCACAATGTAGGCCTCTCTGCAAGGCTGCTTAAGTGTTCTCATGACATGGCAGCCGGCTTCCTACAAAGCAAGTGGTCTAAGAGAGACCAAGGTGGAAATTGCCAAGTCTTTGGTGACTTAGTCTTGGAATCATACACTGTTTCTTCTGCAGTATTCTATTGGCAACACCGGCCATCCGTGGTTCAGTCTGGGAGGGGACTACACAAGGACCTGAATCCCAGGAGATGAGAATCTTTGGAGGCCATCTTGGGTTTTACCCATAGGGGCTTTTGCTGTGTGTTCAGGACAAATAATTACATGGAGCTGATTGCTAAGAAGACGTAAAAGGGAGACAGAGGACAAAGTAGCATCTATTTCTATTTGGTTCTGAATCGGAACATCTTAAGATTTAATAGATGATTTATTAGTCACAACTTGTAGGATGATTTATTGATATAATTAATGACATCCCTAAATTTGAGTGGCTAAACACAAAAAAAGGTTATTTCTTGCTCTCATTGAAGTCTAATGTAAGTTGAGTGGGAATGTCATTGCTCCGTGCATTTATTCAGGGACCCAAATTTCCTTCCGTCTGGTGACTCCACCATCTCCTATGGCCTTGGAGTCCTCTACTGAATTCTCTATACTCAGCCAGCTCACAGGAGAAGAGAGAGAGACAGAGATGGAGAGAAAAAGTATTAAGCAGTGTAAGTGTTTTTAGAATCGAGGACTGGAAGTGGCAGACATCACTTCTGACCCGATTCTGCTAACCAAAGAGCAGTCCTGCGGCCCATCTTTCTCTACTTTATATGTGGGATGCCTACCACAGCATGGCTTGACAAATGGTGCCATGTCCACACCCAGGATCTGAGCCGGCAAACCCTCGGGCCGAGGAAGCAGAATGTGCGCACTTAATGGCTGCACCACCAGGGCAGCCCCTGTCTTTTTGTTAAAGATTGACCCTGAGCTAACATCTGTTGCCAATCTTCCACTTTTTTTTTTCTTCTCCTCAAAGCCCCCCAGTGCATAGTTGTATATTCTACTTGTAGGTCCTTCTAGTTGAGCTATGTGGGATGCCGCCTCAGCATGGCCTGATGAGTGGTGCTAGGTCCACGCCCATGATCTGAACTGGCAAAATCCTGAGCCACTGAAGCGGAGTGTGTGAACTTAACCACTCAGCCTTGGGGACGGCCCCAGTTTTCGCCAATTTGAATATTAAATTTGTGATTTGGGGAGTTGGTGTGGATAAGTCACAAAAATGTGAATGTTAAGCAATATAAGAACTATGCAGGGGCCGGCCCGGTGGTACAGTGGTTAAGTGTGCACGTTCTGCTTCCGTGGGCCGGGGTTCACTGGTTTGGATCTTGGGTGTGGACATCACACCTCTTGGCAAGCCATGCTGTGGTAGGCGTCCCACATATAAAATGGAGGAAGATGGGCATGAATGTTAGCTCAGGGCCAGTCTTCCTCAAAAGAAAACTATGCAATAAAGTTTAATAAAGTTTAAAAACTATGCAATAAAGTTATGGAACAATATAGGAAGGACCTAAAAATTTAAATAAACAGGTAACATATTAAATAATTATATGCCTATGATCACCATATTTCTAGAAGAAGGATAACTCTGGATTGACCCCTGACTAATCTCTAAGGTACATATAAATTTTCTCAATCTTGAAACTTTCCTCTTGCCAAAATACACTCATTCTGACGCTTTTCCTTTCTATAAAAAAACATCTGTTCAGATGTTTTGCATCTGAACCTTCTCACATCTACCACTCTCATCAAACTTGTCCCTCCAGTATTCCGTCAACTCACAGTTCTCCTTTGCACTAACTCCACTTGATCTGCCTCATTCGTCTTTCTCTCCTCAGCGCCCAGGCTAGTGACTAACATAGGACCTGCCTGTCTACAGTAGTAGCTTAATTACGAAAAACTAAATTATTTAGAAGAATTAATAAAGGCAACATGAGAGGGTAAAAGGATCATTGTTTATACCTCAAAAAACCTAAAAATCTTCTCAGCTCTGTCACTTAAACAATGTAACCTTGAATAAGTACGTTAACTTGTCTAGACTTTAATTTACTCATCTATAAAATTTTGATGATTATGGCTTAAGGGAAAAGATTAAGAGGATATATGCCTTAAAGAAAGGGAAAATTGAGGCTAGAAACTTCTATTTCTATTATATTAGTTGTTTATGGCTGTATAACAAATTACCCCAAAACCTAGTGGCATAGTCAAGACACATTTATTATCTCACAATTTCTGTGTCAGGAATTTGCAAGTGGCTCAGCTGGGTGGTTCTTGCTCTGGTCTCTCATGTGGCTTCAGTCACACGAAGGGCTTCAGAGAGGCTGTGCTCATCTGAAGGCTGGACTGGGGCTGGAGGGTCTGCTTGACTCACACAGCTGTGGGCAGGAGGACTCAGTTCACCGTCATGTAGGCCTCTTCTTAGGTCGCCTATTTGTTATCATAATATGGTAGCTAATTGCAGTACAGATATCAGATATTTGCTTATATAGTTAAAAAAAATTTTTTTTAAAAGATTGTCACCTGAGCTAACATCTGTTGCCAATCTGTCTTTTTCTTCTTCTCCCCAAAGCCCCCCAGCACATAGTTGTATATTCTAGTAGTGGGTCCTTCTAGTTGTGGCATGTGGGATGCCACCTCAGCGTGGCCTGATGAGTGGTGCCATGTCTGCGCCCAGGATCTGAACCAGCGAAACCCTGGGCTGCTGAAGTGCAGCGTGCAAACTTAACCACTCAGTCATGGGGCTGGCCCCAATATTTGCTTATCTATTCATGAAAACTCT